TTTTGTATTCTTGTTTATCTTCTTTCAATGTTTATTTTTAATGTTTATTTTCAATAAGTATACCACAGTTCTTACTTCGACGTTCACTTCATCGGTGTGAAACATTTAATTCTATAAAGGAAATTCAGATTTCACCGAGATTGCAAATCTGGTCAATCCGATCCATGTTCTTCGAGCTTCTTTCGAAACTTACTTAATTAGTAATGGAGAATTAATTTCATTAATACATTAGTGCGTTCCTCCGTCTAATTGCAAAGATATAGGTACACTTTGGCCTCGATAGTTTTAGTGTTAAATCAACGAGTACCAGGTGACGGAATGTGCACCCTTTATCCATCGCTCGAAATTTTTATCTCGATTCGACCATTTTCAACGTGCATCGTCAGTCGCCAATAGGGCCAGGGTAGTTGATAGAGAAACGCGTAGCTTCTTCTCCGATATGCACACCACGTTTCGTCGACGATTTCATCAAAGGGGCCTAGGTACTTTTTCGTAATTTTTTTTTTGCCCCCCTCTCCCCCGTTCGAATTACACGGTCCCCCAGATTCGGATCTAACGAAATCGCCGGAGTTATCGTGTGTCGAAACCGTTGGAACCCTTGTATAATGATTTATAATTCCCGAACGTGTCGGTGCGCGCGCGCCATTTACATTTCCAGAGTTTCTGGGTCATAGCTTTCACTTTCTTTCGTCGGTTCTTCCGCCCTTTCGGCTGTTTCCAAGCGTCGAGGCCCTTTTCCCTTTCGTTCGCGATCCTACTCCTCCGGCCACCTCCCATCCCGCTCCACCGATTTCTTTTTCTTTTTTCTTTTTATTAGACTCCATCGTCGCGGCGATCGTGATTTAACCTGACGCGCAATGGAACACTGGCTCTTTATTCTTTCTCAATGCCCCGATGGAAATAGAATCGCTTGTATCGGCGCGGTCGTGCCTCCTCGAAGGAACAAAACGCGCGTGCACCCGTGTTTCGGGTCGCGCAATGTGCCGCACAATGAGCCGACAGGAAGTTCAATCGATCCTTGAGCACCGCGACGATAATTCGCATCGGTGGTATTTATTTCAAGGGGTCATCGTTAAATAGGTTCGGCTCACTTGTTGCGTAAAAGGCGGAGGACCAGAAAGTAGAAAGGAACTTTAAAGGGAAAGCCGATGGGCGTGTTACTTTCTGTACCGAGGTTTACCGAAACTAATTTAAGGGGGCAAACCACGTTAGAAGGCCAAACATAAAGTGTCTTTCATTATTCTTTCTTTTTTTTTTTCTTTTTTTTTCTTACAAAATAGAATTCACTTAATCTTTGTTTAACGTTGACGATATCTTACGTGTGCTTGAAAATGCATTGCGACCGATTTGCTTCTAAGAGAACAAAATTATAAGAAAATATTTGCGTCTAATTACTCGTTCCGTTACCTTTCGGAACGAAGCAATTATTTAACAAAACAAGCTATCCTGCCACGCTTTTTAAATAACAGCTACACGGGCGTTCCTCGCTTATCTTTCGCTGTATACGTATACTTTCCTTTCGTTTTCCTTACTTCGTGCGGCGCTTCGTTAATCCGAACCGCAATTTTATGTATCACGCTTCTTGTTTGCTTTTACTGTTTTCTATAATTAAGTATACGAGTATATTTCTAATTTCTTACGCAAGTTCGACCAACCCGCGTAACATTGTGTTCGAATCGAGAATCCGAGAGATCCTCTCGTGGTTTCATAAAATCGACACCGAGTTGGACAAAATTTAATAACCGAGGGTTAAAACTGCTTTGACGTTAATACAAAATTCTGTCCAACTCCGAAACGGTCTCTATCTCGACTTCAAAGTTCCCGCTGGGGATGTCTTCGGTCGCGATTCGAACACGAGACCCAATTATAGGTACGAATGATTTTTCCTGGCGAGCAGGAAAAATTCGACGCGCCTAACCTCTAAACCTGTGGTACACTGGATACGACGACAACGACGATGACAACACGCTTGCAATAGTTGCCGCGTGCATTCATCGATGACACGGTGCGCGCGTGCGTGCACGCGTGTTCGATGGCATGTAGGTACGACGCGGCGTACGTAAATGTGTGGCACGTTATTACGGCAGGCGCGCACGGTTACTTGGACGGAAAAGAGCGCGACAATTACGTTCGAAGTGAATAAGCTAGGCGCGTGGGGCGGGGGTTGGGGGAGGGGTGGGGGGTGGGGGGGGGGAGATCGCGGTGGCGTCGAGAGAGGTAAGCGTGGTTAGAGAAAGAAATATTGTCGCGCGTATGTTCGACGGAGCAAAGACGATAAGTATCGCGACGTTGGACAGAGAAAGAGGGAGCAAGGGTAAGATATGAAAGAGGGACAGAGAGCGAGGTAGAAGAAGGGAAGCAAAAGAAAGAAGGAAAAAGTTGTACGCACACGTTTAGGGCGGCGGAACGTGTAGTGAGGTAAGGACAGGGTCTGAGAGAGAGACGGAGAATTGGGAGGGTGGGATGCACGAGGTGACAGCGGCGAGAGGCTCGAGGGGCGGAGGGAGGAAGCGAGAAAGACGTAACGAGAGGGAGCGAGTCGCGGCTGCGTCATGTTCTCAGCGAACTGGGTCAGTGGGTCTCCCCACCTCCTCGCCGTCGTACATCTACTGCGACGTACACACAGAGAAGCACTGGCACTGTCGGGGAGTGCCAACGGCGTTACAGTTGACCCAGCCACGGCCTGTATGTGGCCTGTGCGCCTGCCCTGTGCCCGCTTACCGTGACTCTGTGTTTGGCTCCCCTGTGCTCTTTGAAAGCAAGAGTTGTTCGCTCTACCGTCCATTCCATCATCCTCCACCGAAAACAAATATCGAATATATACGCGAAGTCGGCACGACATCGATATCCCGCGATCTTCCTAGAAATTCTCGTTCGTCGTTCCTAAAGAAAATTCTTTAATTCGAAGTCATGATAACAGAATCGTTGGAATATCCATCCAAGACCGAATAGTTTCGTCCGTATCGATTTCAATTTCCCACGGATCGTTCTCACAGTTTCGTCGTGTCAGAATTCCGCATTTACGGATATCGAAACACGAAGTAAGAAGCGAAGCGGGTATCGATTCGAGTCGAATCCCGTGCGGGCTCGCTACACGTGCGTCGAGGTATTCGCCGGCAGCCACCGACGACAAATACGGTCGACGAAACGACGGCGGCGGCGGCGGCAACGCCAGCAGACCGGCGCGGGAGCGTACCGAGGACAATACTTCTCCCGCCGACATAGACCTGGTTCCGTAAGTAGGTCATCCCCGCCAGCGCGCAACCTCCTTCTCCCCCCCTCGATCCCTTCGACCGCGGCAATACCTCCCGACCTCCCCCGTCCTCCTCTGCCTCGACGTTACCCGCTCCCCGCCTCTCTGCCCCTCGAACCGCGTGTTGCCCTCCCCACCAGACGCGGGGCCCTCAGTGGCACCTCCACTACTTCGTCGGGCACCTGGCCGCGCGCGGTGGCATGCGCTGCTGAATCACTTTCACTTATGCCGTGCGCTGTGTTGGTTATACGCCGTGCTTCCCTCTCTCTCTTTTTCTCTCTCTCTCTCTCTCTCTCTCGCGCGCTCTCGCACTCGACCCGTGCCCGTCGGTAAAGGGACACGCGCGCGCTCGTTCTCTCCTCTCCTCTATACCCACCGAAACGCCAAGGGAGTCTGACGCGGCGGTGCGCGCCTCTCGCCGTTCTCCCGGTTCTGCCAATTTTATTTTACTCCCGACGGTGTCACGGCGAAGTATTATCTCCTACACGGTGTTTAACGTGTTCGTGCTCGTTTTTCGGATCGTGTACAGCCAGTGCGTCGTGTGTTCCTTTTAATCGGGGGCAAGAGTAACGCGCAACGATAATCGACAAACGACGGAACGGAGCGGCCGTGTTGTGTGATCGAAGACGAGACCCGTGTTCGCCGTGTTGCGGTGCCGCGATATACGCGACCGTGTGTCTCGCGGGACGGTCTCTCCCGACTCTACCTAACTCCATGTGTCGACGGTAGGGCGGCAGAGGGGAGGGGGCGGGCCCTTCGGGAAAGCAACGAGGCGAGAAGACAACTAGTCGTACGCAGATAGCCGAGCTGTCAAGTCGTACGGGGGGGAAGCTGGAGGATTTTTTTTCTGTCCCTCTTTCACGCTCTTTCTCTTTCTCTCTCTCTCTCTCTCTCTGTCCGTCTGTTCGTCTCGCTCTTATGCGCCCTCTTTTTACACGACGGTGCATTACTTTGGATTGCAGTGTGTGCGCCCTATTTACCTCGAGTCTACGTTACATATTTTTGTGACAACGCCGTTAAACTTTGTTTCGCGTGCGCGCATGTGTGATCATCGCGTAACGGTTACCGGCTCCAACAACGATCCGATTGTTTTCTCTGTCCCGTGATCGACACCGTGACTGGGGGTCCTCGTGGCGTTGGACGTCCAGCTTCGATCTCGCGTGTGTGCTCATCGTTGTTCGGTGTCTCACGACGTAACACGCTGGATTATCAGTGCCCGCGCGACGAGCCGAAAAATTGTAACGATCGAACTATTCTGGTGGTTCGTTGTTACGCGCCGATAGGAGGGTATAAACGACAGTGACATCCATTTTTCACGCGTACACGATTCCTCTCATTCTACGATGATTCGGACGTAGTCGTACGATTCGAAGTCGGTGTGGTGCGCGATGGTTTCCCCCGTAAACTTGTGCCGTAGAAAAGCGTGATTGGTGATCGATATTGTAACGTGCCAAGGGTACCACCCGAGAGTGTGTGTTTCTTAACGCGCTTATGCTTTCGTCGTCGTTGTCGTCGTATCGTCGCTGTCAGCGACAACCCAACTGTACGCAGGGTGCTCGTTCGAGTAACACGACCTTGCCCTGTAACACCATCGAAACCAAAGGGAAACCGTAAAGACCGCCGCTGTCGTATGCGCCATCGGCACGATATTTCCACGGTGACCAAAGAAACGAGACCTCCCAGCCGCTTCATATATGAACCGATACGCCACCAGCACGTTTCTCCGTGCAGTGCTTGCGCAAGGGTGATATGTTATTGGAGATGGAGCAGCATTCGGGCCTGATATCCCTGAATATGTCGCCGTTTCATCTGAGCCCGCAGGGTAGTCCCCAGGGTGCGGCAGGCGCCGGTCAGCAGCAACAGCAGGCCCAGCAACAACAACAACAACAACAGCAGCAGCAACAACAACAACAACAGCAACAACAACAACAACAACCTCATTACGGTTCCTCGCCCTATGGGAATTGCGCCCAGAGCCCACCCGCGACAATGTGTCACCAATCTCAGTCCCAGCAACAGCAACAGCAGCCGCAACAGCAGCAACAGTTGTCGGTTCACGGTCAGGCGCACACGCAGGGCGGTATTTCGAGTTTCGACGCCGCCTTCTTCGACTCCACCGCCCTGGAGGAACGATGCCCCATGTGCGGCGACAAAATGTCCGGCTATCAGTACGGTTTGCTCACGTGCGAGTCATGCAAAGGTTTTTTCAAACGCAACAGTTCGCCGTGCAGTAGCAAAAAGGTGTACACGTGTCTGTTCTCACCGACGGGCGGTGGGGGCGGGGGAGGAGGAGGAGGCGGCGGCGGCGGCGGCGGCGGTGGAGGCGGTGGAAACGGTAACAACGGCGGGAACGGCGGATGTGGCGCATCTTCTGCACTGGATATCGGATCTTGCAGCACTAAGAAGGTGTACACGTGTCTGTTCTCGCCAACAGGGGCCGGAGGCGGTAACGGGGGCAACGGAGGCAGCAACGGGGCAGCTAACGGCGCGGGGGGTGGCTGCGGTACCTCGACGGCCCTCGAGACCGGCGGCGGCGGTTACAACGGCGGGGTTGCAGGCGGCGGGGGCGGCGGCGGCGCGGGCGCCGCTGGCGGAAGTGGGCCCACCGCAGGAAACGCCGCTGCTGGCGGCGGCGGTAGCGGTAGCGGCACCGGGGGCGGCGGCAGCGGATCCGCTACGGTAAGCGGGAATGTCGCGATTCCGACTACCACCTACTCTTTACCAACTGGTACCATTTGTCATCCTGGATTGGGCCAGGTTGGCGTTGGTGTCGTGACCGGCTCGATACCCTGCCCGTCCGACTTCCCCGACACCAAGGACATCATCATCGAGGAGCTGTGCCCGGTGTGCGGCGACAAGGTCTCCGGTTACCACTACGGGCTCCTCACCTGCGAATCCTGCAAGGGTTTCTTTAAACGGACCGTCCAGAACAAGAAGGTCTACACGTGCGTCGCAGAGAGGTCCTGTCACATCGACAAGACGCAACGGAAGCGGTGTCCGTTCTGCCGTTTCCAAAAGTGCCTCGAGGTCGGCATGAAGCTTGAGGGTGAGTTTTCTTTTTATCCTCGATTGTATACATATATTTATATATTATTTGATTATCCCGAAAGTTTCTTTCGCGAGTTGCACTCGATTATTTTATGTGTATTTCGTGTTTATGTAAATAGGTAATCTAATTTCATAGATATTCATGTTGTAACAGTAATGGAGCAAAATGAATCGCGCAAAATTCACTAATGTAACATAAAACATAAACTATTGGGCATGTATTACTTATTAATCAAGCGAAAGAAACTTTTGGGACAACCTAATATTATATAACATATATATATATAACAAAAATATTATATATTTTTGTTATCTTCTCCCTATTCTCTCGCTTTACACTCGGGGGATGGGCAAGCGAATTTTATACCATGTTTAATTTCGTAAAAGTACGCGTATTCCTGTACGCGTTTAGCATACGCGTTTAGATATTTGCATATGCCATAAATGCATCAGATCCGTAGTCTGGTGATCGTAAACAGTGGCGTCACTGGGGGATGCGGACACCGTCGGATGTGGGTGTCACTGTTACGTTCGGAGAACAGTTTCCATATACATCTGTCTACAATGGCTGCGTTATGCAAAGCAAATCCATTAATCTCGTTAAAGAGTAAATTTTAATGTTACAATGAATATTATTTAGAGTGCTCTTAGGCGTCTTTAATTACAATTTTATGTTTGCTACTTACGTCACTACCGTTACTAGGAATCAATCACGTGATATTTCAAAAATATTATGAATGATTCTGTGTAATCTGGTACAAGGGGTGAGACCAACCCCGTTGACACCACTGATCGTAATCTATACTTGTAATCTGCAATCGCGAATCAATAATTCGTAATCAATCGGAGCTAATCGTGTCTAACAAATATTTATTATTCGTCGATCGTTATTACGGATTCCTCGCTAGCCGTAATCGTGAATTACAGTTTGGCCGATTCTGTTTGCCATGCCTTTGACGCGCGCGGATACACCATTTGTATGCCGGGATGGGATCGAAAAGTCATCGCGAATTTTTACTTTTGAACGCGTACAAAAATTCCTCGATACGGCAGCCGTAGAATTAAAAACCCGCTGACCTTACTTCAAAGCGATGCTGCGCGTGCGTCGAGGTGTCAGGCATGAATGTTAACTAAAAACTTTTATATTTCTCGTTGCATCGTCGTGAAAGTATCGTCAACGTATTGGCACGGGTTTTCCGATGAAAAACAAGTCTGAATACCATTGAAACAAGTTACGATTGACAATAGTCCGAATGAGATCGCGTTTAATCGCATTCATTGAAAAACTCTCGACAAACAATTGATGTTACTTTCATAAAGATATAGTGAAAATATAAAAAAAAAAAATCTAATCGCATTAGTATCGATACACCGATACGCTTTCGGCGTCGCTTTGAAGTTTCAGCCACTCCTTGTTGCTCTACTGTTCTCATTTTTTATGTTTATATCTATGTTCTCTCTCTCTCTTTTTTTTTTTTACTACAATATCCAATTTAATCAATCACGAGAAAGGATTCTCCATCCATCCTCGGTTAAAGAAAAGCGATCTTTAAGCGAGGGATTGCCGTACGTTTGGCAAAACTCTGAAACGGATCGGTGGAATAACGTGGAAGGTAAATAACGACACAAAGAACTTCATACCGTTGCGCAAGCAACTTTTATTCGGGCGACGATAATGGGTGCTCATTTTTTGGATGTGAAAGCGATGCATGCGGGTGTCGTCGCGATTTTTTATGCAGAAGGTGAAAGAACGAAAGCGCACTCGTCTGCGCTCGGGTAGACTTCGATGTTCAATTATGCAATATAATCCTGGGAACGTGCGTTTCTCTGCGCGTTTGCATGTGTATGCTTCACGAGCAGACTATCTTACCCTCAGATTTTAGAAATTTTGAACGGATAGCTTATGAGTCGCTAAGTTGATTAACTTAACGTCGACGTATATTAGGTGTACTGGAAAGTAATGTCGTTTGTGCAATTTTAACACGTTCACTGCCAGACTAATGCTCTTGAAAATTTCTACCGTGTTTAAATTTTGTTTACAGATTTTTGGAAGCTGCGTAATGAAACATTTATTTTGGTATTTAGTTCTGTAACTTCATCAGAATTCAAGTATTTCGTTTAAATTCATTTCCTATGGCACTTACTTTATGACACTTAACTTTCAGAATTAATAGTTTTCGTTTTTCAGTGAAAACCACTGTCACCCATATATGGGTGACGTGGCGGTCAACGTGTTAAATACTCGTTTATCACTAATAAGCTCATTGATTTTTATCGATATAGCGTTGAAAATTTGCACACTAAATGGCAAAAGGTTGTTGATAACGAAGGCGATTACATAATTTGTTTAAAAATAGAAATTTATTAAAAATTTGTTTGAATTTAATGTAAAAGAAACGACATTACTTTCCAATCTCCTGAAGCTTCGGTGTTGACCCGACATAAGTTCCCCGAGGTACAGATTTGTAGTAGGTGCAGAAATTAATTCTGTGCCTTTCTAAGGTTAACTTTCTTCTAAAGAACAACCATAGAAGTTTTAATCTTCCCCCGGTCAAAAATTCATACATTACTGTGCTCGTACTTTAACGTGACAAAATAGCGAGTAGATATTTCTAGTTAGAGTTCTAAACGATGGAATGTCAAGGCACAGAATTAATTTCTGGCCTTGAGGAAAAAGTATTAGAAAGTGAAGGTGAACAATATTCATTGACCAGAAAAAGAATGACCCATGCTTCAGCGACATTCTTTGCTTCTGAAATCGAATTTCGCGGAATTACCTGAAAAATGGCGTGATCCGACCTAACCTTGACGTTATTTCGTGGCTCTTATTGGCAGGTCTCTAGGCAACACATCACAGTGTGACGAAATGATCGCCAGTATGTAAATAATCGCTACCATATAACCATCGATTATCGTTCAGCGTCGCAGTCAAATTCTATTGTAGCGCGATTATTTACTTTCACCGCACGTTAACGGGCGACCGGAATAGCTCTCGTAATATCAGCCAGTGCGTTAATGTTACTACATTATTATCAACCTTTTGCGTTATCTCTTATTCAATATCTTTGCGCGTACACATATCTCGCGATACGTCAAGAGTCGTTTACGCGCGAACGCGTGCACGGTCGGTTCGCGAGTTCGGGAATTTTCGGTCCCCTTCGCGAGACCTCGGTCGAGCCCGTACTCGTTGAAGCGTTCTCGCATCACGCTCCTACGAACTTAACCTTATTACGCGCCCGCAAACCGATCAACCGATACACGTTGTCTTCCTTCGCGGATTCTTTCGTTGTTCCAATTAATTTTTCTGTCCCAACGAGTGAACACATCCTCCTCTGTCTTCTTTTCCGTTTTATTCGACGAGTTTGCTCGCCGCGTTAACAACAAGAATCGAACCATACGTACAAGAATCGCGTGTTGCATCAAAGCAAAGTGAAAGGGCGAGGTTCAGCGAATAAGCCTGCTTTACAACCTGACCTAACCCAACACTAAACACATTACCTAGCGCTACATTTAGAAAGTGTTCAGAAGAGAACTTTTAACGGTAGTGCAATATTAACGCGTCTATAGTGTTACGAAGGAGAAGCCCTTATTTTGTTTCCTGAAATCGACCGCTGTAAGTAGACAATCAACACTATATAGGCTGCTATAGTTTTAACACGTTGACCGCCGTGTCACCTATATATGGGTGACAGTGCTTTTTACTGAAGAAATAAAAGAAATTAATTTTGACAGTTAAATATGAAAGTAAATGAATTTATATGAAATGTTTGAATTTCGGTGAAGTTACAAAAATAAATACCGCAATAAATGTTTGATTATGTAGTCTTCGATAGTCGGTAAATAAAATTTAATCGCAGTAGAAATTTTTAAGAGTATTGATGTGGCAGTCAACGCGTTGAAGGAATTTATAGAAATTTGTGGTATTGGTCGTCCCATAAGTTCGTGCCGAAGATTGTGTCGAAATTTAATAAAAAATCACAGAAAATTTTCTAGTAACGGAATAATGACTATGTGAGAGAGGTGAGAAACTATTGCGAAATGAGACAGATTTTATCTTTTCTTGCGACACTTAAGAGTAGGTTTAACGTATTAATTTGAGAAATAGAAATATTAATGGCACGAGCTTTTAGAACGACCTACATATATTGTCTCTGGGAAGAGTTACTATCGTACACAGATGTATAGGAAGAGGCTATGGAAAGATTTAGAGAATTGGTGGTTGGAACGTTATTGACGTTAACCAACTAAAGCTTCGTGCTATAACGCATCGCATTATCAACTGTAATATTTATCTATTCGTTAGCCGTTTTTTTGTTGAACAAATCGTAACGAATTATGCATGACAGGGGAGGGAAGTAGATCTAAAGTATCTAGAAACAGTTGAAACAGGAATGCAGGAGGCGCGAGGTGCCGCCAAAGTGCTGTTATACGAACCTAACCTCAAACAATGTTACCTCGTGATACGAATCGCGCGTCGAACGCGAAATCGATTGGGCAAACCATTCTTACATACGCAATAAAGAAATTCGCGATATAGTCGTCGGCAGTTTTCTAAATATTCGGTGGACTGGAAATTAATGTCGTTTTTGCCATCTTAGATACTTGTTTATCATTTATCAGCTCATTGATTTTTCTGGCATTGAAAATTTGCACACTAGGCGACAAAAGGCTGCCGACAATCAGGGCGATTATATAATGAATTAAAGATAGAAATTTATTGGAAAGTTTGAATTTAATGTAAAAGAAACGACGTTACTTTTCGGTCTACCTAATACATGGCGTTCGCTCAGTTTTTCTTGTCGGGATTTTGATTCGATTTCCATTGGTGAATCATGTAGATTTTACGGGAAGGAATGATTATAATATAAAATTGTGACTAGCAGTTTTTGCTTTCAGTACACTGGTCAATAATAATAATAATAATAATAATAATAATAATAATAATAATAAAACCAATTCGTTCAATTGTAATTTATTAACTTCTTTTTTCTAAACAATGACATCCTACATATTCTTATATCTCTTAATAAATATATTCTCATATTCTCTTCTATAGATGCAGTATAAAAAAAATTAGTTATTTATATAAGTTGCAGAATTAACAAGAAAAAATAATAAATCGATAGAAATACGAAGCAATAAGTATTGGAACAAATGTTAAATTTTCAAAACTTCATTAAAAAAAAAAAAACCATAAAATT